ATTTTTTTTAAACGAACACCATGTCCTCCATGAAGCGAGGGGCCATTTTGCTTGTTACCAGCACACAGTTCAAAAGTCTGCCTCTCTGATGGTATGGGGGTGCATAAATGCCTATGACATAGGCAGCTTACACATCTAGCAAGGCATCATTAATGCAGGTTATAGATCAACAAATGCTCTCTTCCAGCAAATAAAAAAAAAAAAATCCATCAAGAAGGACAAGGGACAGTTTACCAGCTGTTCAATCGACTCAGTTCAACGTCAGTTCCTGAACGTTCAGGCTGTTGTTAAAAGTAGAGGGGATACTTCACAGTGATAAACATGACTTTATCTGTCAACTCCTCTCAGACATGTTTATCAATAAATTCCTATTTTTCCCCAAAAAAGTTGTACAACTTTTTAGTTTCACCATTTTTATGTTTACTATGTTCCATTATGAATAAAATATAGGTTCATGAGATTTGCAAACCATTACACTCTGTTTCAATTTACTTTTTACACATTTTAAGATTTTTGGAATATTGTTTGTTTTATGTTTTTGAAATGGCATGCTGTTTTTATGAAAAACTTGATCCTTCGTTTTTAATTTTTATGTAATATCTAATTGATTTATTGGCTTTTCATGGCTCCCTGCGATATAATTACACACAAAGAGCCTGCTTTACTGTTTACTTTGGACATATTTATTTTTTATTTTATTTCTATTTATAAAATTTTGTTATTTTGATAATATTAATTTGGTAATATTATTAATAGTTATTTTTTTCAACCTTGTTTTTGTTTAGTGATTGAAGAGCATAATCTCATCTCAGATTGCATCTTGAATATGTTTGTGTCCACTCTTGGTTTGCAGCGACCTCTTCTGGGTATTTTGAGAACAACAACCATCACAGCTAGAAAAAAGCCAAACATCTGCGTGTAAAGTTTTTTAAGAGCTACAGAAGAGACACAAAGAGATGAACAGTCTGGTTTGACCTCATAGGGGCACAGAACAAAGACTGAAGTCACTTGCACAAAGCAAACAAACTAAAACAAAGAATAAAACCCCTCTATGGTTGTCTGATGGGTGGAAACCCCATTAGTCTCATTAGTCTGCTGTATAATAGGCCAAACTTCGCTTCACTGGGTTACTATAATTCACTTCTGTGACAAAGAAACCAAAAGTAATTCACCCGCACGCACCCACATGTTCACAAATAAGAATAAGCTGATCTCAGTGGCTTATTTTTAAACATCACATTTAACACCTGATCTCAGTTCGCAGATGTACACACAAATGCAGACAGAATGCAAACGCCGTCTGAAACAACACGGCACATCCTATAGCTCCAGATATAGTTTTATTTCAACAGATTTGTTCTCACAACATGAGTGATACAAACACACAGAGGAGATAAGCACAGCTCAGACACATGATGCAAATCATGTTTTTTTTTTACTCTTTCCATGTTCAACAACTGCCTCAATGCAAATGAGATAATTTGAACAGATATTTTATGCACTACACATGTAGTGGATACATTCAATTCAATTCAGTTTATTTATATAGCTCAGAGTCACAACAGAAGTCGTCTCAGGGCACTGAATAAAAACATTCACATACATTAAAAAAACACTTAGTGAAAGTTATCCATCTAAGGAAGCAGCAGATTGCGTTGAATCTTCACTTTGTCGCAGTCTCCCATTCTGAGTAAGCACAAAGGCAACAGTGGAAAGGAAAAACTCCCTTTTAACAGGAAGAAAGCTCCAGCAGAACCAGGCTCAGGACGAGCGGCCATCTGCTTTGACCGACTGGGGTTTGAGAGGACAGGAAGCAGAAACAAATGAACACAGAATGGCAGATCCAGGTGTACTTTCTAATGGAGGAAAGACAAAAACATGTTAAGATTGAAATAATTACAAATACAAAACAGGTAAAAATACAAAACAGGTAAAGTAGAGCAAGTACAGACAGCAGCAGAGTGAGGAAATGTGGTCACTTTGTCCTCCTGCAGTCTAAACCTATAGTAGCATAACTAAGGGATAGCTCAAGAAACCCAAGCCAACTCTAAATATAGGATTTATCAAAAAGGAAAGACTTAAACCTGATCTTAAAAGTAAAGAAGGTGTCAGCCTCACGGACAGAAAATGAAAGTTGTTTCCACAAGAGAGGCGCTTGAGAACTGAAAGCTCTGCCTCCCATTCCGCTTTTGGAACCTCTAGGAACCACAAGTAAACCCGAGAAGTTTGAGAGTGAAGCGCTCTGTTTGGTAAACATGGAACAATAAGATCTGATGAGCTAGGTTAATTCACACGTGGACTGTGGCATCCTGAACAGAAGAAGATCCATGTACTGTATACATTTATTTCATTTTCTCCAATGTCAAATAATTTATTTAAGAAATGGCTAGGAATTAGGAAAGACTAGTTTTTCCTCTTAGAATAAACGAACATGCTCTAACACTGGCTTTTTGATACTTTTGGTTTCTTGAATTCATTTTGCTCGTTTAGCTTTCTGTATACAGCTGATCTTTGGCTACAGTTAGCTTCTATCTAGCATTTTGCTTCTGTTAGCCTTAGCTAGCATCTTACTTCTTTGACGTGTTTATGTAGCGTTTTAAAGCATTAATAACTTTATACTTTAGTTAATAACTTAGTAATAGCTTAGTAGAAACTTTCAGCAGTTATTTAGCATTAGAGGTTGTATCAGTTTTTTTTTTTTTAGCGTCAACAAACTAAAGCGGTTTTATTTTGAAGGGCAAACTTCCTGTCACTTCCTGTCACCCTGTCGAGCTTGACGGAAGTGTCCGCGAGGCTCGCAGCTTCTCTCTGGTTTCGTCAGGAAGCAGCAGAGGAGCATCACCGACTGCACCTTGTCCCTCAAAACTCCAACTAAACGGTGCGTGCGAGTGGGTTTGTGTTCCTCTGTCAGCCGAACCGAACCGAACACGGAGCTGCTGACAAGTCAGTTTCTCTCGGAGCTCCTCGTCTCTCCGCTCAGTCCGCTGCGGTCATGGAGAAAAGACATTTACAATGTTTGTTTAGTTTATGGCATAGAAGCTAAATGTGCAATGTGCATTTGTTTGTTTAAGATGATTTTCTTTTTTTTTTACTTTTCATATTCAGTTTCCTGGAACATTTTGTGCCACCTGCAGTGATGTCGCACTGATTTAGGATTTAATGTGATATTTTGTGGAAAATGTAAAAAGGGGAATTTAGAGATGCAGTTAAACAGTTTTATTCATAAGCCTTCAGTGGGATGTCCCACGAAATCAAGGGTACCCCCTTGATTTCCTTTTATCAAAGGACCCCAAAAAGGGTTATTAATGCTTTGTAATTCGGTTGTTAATGAGTTTGTAAGCTATTTATAAATAATTAACAACCATTTTTAAAATGTGTTGTCAAGCTCACCATTTGGCAAAATCAAGTGATGCACTTTTATTAATTTCGTCCAAATTTAGACTTAAAAAATATCAAATATTTGCCAACAAGTTGAGCACTAGGGTTTGTAAATAAGAGTGCACATGCATCCCATGGCGGTGAGCCCCCTCTGGTCCTCTATGACACTGAGCAGCCACACTATAACAAAGTTATGAAGTTCAAAATGTAAGGCGAACAACTTGCAATAAATGTCACTTACAAAAAAACTGTTTTGTTTTTTTGTGTGTTCTGCTGGTGTGCAGTGTTTTTCCCTTAGAGTCTTGGACATGGACCTGCTGCCAGACTTATGGAGACAGGACTTCTGGCTTCCTCCTGCTGTGACCTGGACAGACTTGGAGCAGCTGGCGGACCCTGAGCGACCTCAGCCCCAAGACCTTCTGATGACGCTGCCCGTCGCTCTGGGCTTTGTCGCTCTTCGCTCTGTGTTCGAGAGGTACACTACACCTGAGCCGTTTAATGCACTGTAAAATGTGTGCAGCTGTGACGCTTTATCCTAACTAACTTGTACTATAACCTAAATTACTGTATTTTAACATTTGTATCCTCTTTGAAACATGGGGATAAACTGAATCAGAAATAGCATTTCCTTCATTATCATTCAGAGCTTTGTAGAGGATATGAGAGGGCCGGGCAGGTGTTGTTATCAGGAGATAAAGGCTTTTTGAGGACCAAAGAGAAACAGACAGGACAAAACAAAGGGAGATAGTTAACATCATAATTATTTGCTGAGCTAATAGCAATTTCATGCAATGGGTTTCAATTTTCAATTTACTTTCTGGATTAATGTATCACTTTAGAAGAACTTAGTGCAACAGACAGTTCAGTGTCCATAACAACCCTCACAAATGCTCATTGTTGGTTCTAAGTTTGTGGCTGTGCAGATTATGTAAAGAGCTTTTGATTACTAAAAGACAAAACTTCAGACAGGTGTCACTTGACATGTTGTGCACAACCTGCGCTGCTGAAAGTGTTGCCCGGTGTCCTGATGATCCCACATCATTTGTGTGAACCACCTTTTGTTCTCCTCTAGGTTTTTGGCCCCACCCATGTGCAGATGTCTGGGGGTGAAGAACAGGTTGCAGGTGACTGCTGCCCCCTCCCCACAGCTGGAGTCGTTTTACAAACAGAGGAGCACACAGCCAACACAGGTGAGTCTGAGCAACCTTTGACAAAACTTGATTTTTTTTTTTTTTGTCTTTAGTTGGGTTTACTTGAACTGCCTTTAGATTGGAAAGGTTCAGTTTTCTCTTGCTTGCATAGCAATCGTTTTGCATCCTACAGTGATTTCTGATTGGCAGTGTAACCACATGACATTTAGCTTCAGCTTCCAGCCAAGTGGTGAAGTCATCCAAAGAGGAAGAAGCGTCCCGATGGACAGAATGTGGAGCAGGGAGCGAATGAAAACGAGACTGCAGAGAGGCACAGGCTGACAACTCTGCTCGGCCTCCTGCCAGGACAGCTGCTCAAACTCAGCTGGCAAAACTTCTGGAGTCACTTGAGTGTGTGGCACAGATGTAAAGGCTCAGATGGCCCGTACCTTGCTAAGTGCTGACTGAGCACGTGCACTAGGAGATGGAGGCAGGCTGTTGGGCACGAGCTGTGTCCAGCTTCAAGTGTGCAAGAAAGATGTGATATGGTGATAGTGTAATATGAACATATGCTGTCATATATTCATAGATAAAACGGATTCTTTCATTTTTCTGGACTGTATAATAACGTGCATCTGAATTTAATAAAATGTGGACGTGAGACGTTAATTATCTTTGACTCACCAACGACAGTGGGTCATTTATTAACAGAATCAAGTTTAACACATCACACATTTACATTAATTGGCAAAAATTGAAAATAACGACAGCTTATTAATCAGTTTTACAGGAAGTAAACAATACAGCGATTGTTCTCACTTCCAGTAGTACAACAGGCATTACCACACGGCGGTGGTTGAAAACTTTGCTTTAGACATTCCTAAAAATATCTGGATTAATTTCTACTTGATAGAAGAGTTTTAAAGATGGAAAGATGAAGTTTATCTTGAGAGAGATGTGTGAGGGAATTTGTCTGTTTTAACCAGAACAGCACACTCCTTTGGACCAGCTTGTCCCAACGGTACACTTTGGTTGAAGATCGACTTTTTACCTTTCTGAAGATATGTCAGTTCCGGCGTAAAGTTCCACTTCGAGCCACTTTTCAGCGTCTCCGTAAGAACAGCTAAACCTCGGGAGTCGTGAGATCATCCAGAACAGACATTTCATAATTCCCAGATCTTCTCTTGTTCAGCTTGATTTTTCTTTCATCAGCATCCTGAATTCCAGCCTTCATGAACTCTGGAACTGCTGTTAACTAGGAAGTGCTGCACCTTTTAAGAAGGGTCACTTCCGGTTCATTTGAGGACTTTCTGATTGGTCGAATGGACCAAACAGAGGTGTGTTTTGTGATGTAAGGTGTTATGAAAAGTCAAGGAAAAAGATTAAGATTGTTTAAGAACAGACAAAAGATATTATGAAGAACTTCAGACTTCGTGGAGTCAATTCTCTAGTATCTTGCTGTAAAAGTTAAACATGACATTTCTTTTTCAGTAAACTTGCAGTTGACCGAAACTTGAACTTTGACCAACTTACACACTTGCTCACTTCAAACAGACGATCAAGAAATTGAATCATTACTCTGTAACATATTCCAACTTGGTTTCACTTTGAATGAGGATTAAGAATCATTATTACTGTTTCACAGTTAATAAAAATGAGTAGTTCACTTCAACATTTAAACATTGTTTGAACTAACACAATTTGATTATTGTAGTGAACCAGATGACCTCAAATCTACCAGATGGACAGAGACTGTTATTTTCATTGATCTGAATAAGTCTGGGCCATCTGATGAACTTTCTTTCTTGAATTAATCAAGCAGAAAAGACAATCCTCTATAATCATTACTGTTTTACAAATGTTTTGATAATCAAATTGTGTTAGTTCACTCAATGCTTTACAGGTTGAAAAGAACTACTCATTTTTATTTTACATAAACAGTAAGTAATGATTTTTATTCCTCATTCAGAGAAGAAATCACCTGAATAAGCATTCCTTGATTTTCTGTCTGAAATGAGCAAGCTGTCGTAAGTGTGTGAAAGGTTGGTTTTCGGTCAACTAAAATGTTTACCGAGAAAAATGTCATGTTTAAACTTTTTCAGAAGATTACCAAGAGTTGACTCCACGAAGTCTGCTGTTGCTGCAATAATCTTTTCTGTATGTTAAACAAATTTCATTCTCTGACCTCGACTGTTGATAAACACCTTACGTCAAAACCACTCCTCTTTCTGGTCCTTCCACGAATCAGAAAGCTCTAAATTGAACAGGAAGTAAACTCATTTAAAAATGTGACAACTTCCCAGTTCAAGAGAGGATTCGAGATTTCCAGAATTCCAAGAGAATGAGAGTTCTGAGAGATGTTGGAATGAGAGCTGATTGAGAGTGCAGCTGGTTCTGAAAGCTTCAGAGCAATGAAGAGTCCAAGAGTTATGAAGAGTTTGGAGTTATGAAGAACCAGGGACGTTTGGGATTATAATTCTGTTTTGAGCTAACCACGCACGACTCTCCGAGGATTTTTAGCTGTTCTTAACGGAGGCGCTGAAACAGTCTGAAGGATGCTTACTGAGCTGATCCATCGTCAAACCAGGTAAAGACTTCTTCGACCAAGTGTACCGTGGGCAAAGCTGAGATACCTGATGGGAGCGTGCAACTTCTGGTCAAACAGATTAAATTCCCTCACACAGTTCTCTGTAAGATAATCTCCTTTCATCTTAAACTCTTCTCTCTCACAAAATCAGTACAGATATTTTAGAAATATCTGAAGCAAAGTCCTCAAATCACCGCCGAGTGATTTGAAGTTCATTATTTGTGAAACTGTCTGTTATTATTTTCATATTTTGCCAAATTAATGTAAATGTTTGATGTTAAACTTTGATTCTGAAAATAAATGATTCCATTCATTTGATGGGTCAAAGATAAATAACGTCTCTCGTTACATTTTGTGTTAAATTCAATGCACGGCATTTACAGTCAGAAAAATGAAGAACTCGTGAAAAGTATGCATAAATATATATCCATATATTTGTCATACAACAAGTGACACGTACCTCACGTGACTCACTACATTATCAAACATTTGTAAAATAGTAATGATAATCGAAAGTAGTCTTCTTTCACTTGATTAATTTAAGAAAGAAAGTCTCAGGATGGGTCAACCTGTATTTCTGGATTCAAATCAATGAAATGACAAGTTCTGTCCCATAAGGTCCTTAAGGTCAAGGTTTTGACATCAGGCCTAGTTCACTACAATAGTGTTCTGGTTCTGCCAGTGATCAGAGGCTGTGGTGGACATTTTGGGCTGTGTAAATCCCTGTGGTTCTTTGGGGTTTGAATTGGTGGCTATGATAAAACAACAGAGGGTCAGGTTTGTTCGCTCTTCTTCAACACGCTACTGTAACATGTTACTGTAACATTCTACTGTAATACTGTAACATGTTACCGTAACATTCTACTGTAATAATGTAACATGTTACTGTAAAATTCTACTGTAACATCCATCCATTATCTTTTACCCGCTTCTTCCATTTTGGGTCACGGGGGTCGCTGGTGCCCATGTCCAGCAATCACTGTGCGAGGGGCGGGGTACACCCTGGACGGGTCGCAAGTCCATCACAGGGCCACATAGAGACAAACGAGACAAACAACCATTCACTCTCTCACTCACACCTAGGGACAATTTAGAGTTACCAATCAGTCTAACATGCATGATTTTGGTCTGTGGGAGGAAACCGGAGTACCCGGAGAAAACCCACACATGCACGGAGAGAACATGCAAACTCCACCCAGAAAGGCCCCTGGACCGGGATTTGATCCAGGAACCTGCTCGCTGAGAGGCAGCAGCTCTACCAGTTGTGCCACCGTGCTGCCCACTACTGTAACACGTAACATATTACTGTAACATGCTGCTATAACATGTTACCATAACATGCTACTGGA